CCTCGCTGCGGGGGCTGTCTGTGGTACACGCAGCGTGACCCGTGCCGGCTCCAACACAAAGCGTGCTGCAGACGGGCTTGTCTCTCGCAGCCTCGCCAGCGGGTGCGTTATACGGGTGGAGCCAGCAGAGGGCATGGAGGTGGTTGTCCCCAGCGTGCAGGGACGGAAACGGCTCCTGCAGCCAGGGCTCCCATCTGCCCTGCAGGACCTCGGCCCTCTTGGGCTTTGCCAGCTGTAGGACGTTGGTCTGGTCCTGCAACTCCTTTCTCAACCTGGCAGCCCCAGTGCACCCACCTCTCCCACTCTGCAAAGTGCCTGGATGCCTATGGACATCCTGGGTGCACGGAAGAGGAGCCAGTGATGCCCAGCCACCCTCCATCCCCTGGTTTTGGGAAAGGAGGAAGCTTGGGGCTGAGATCACGACACTGATACAATCCCCATGCCCACCCATGCCGAAGGGAGGCTCGATGCTCTGGTCTCCAGCAGTGTCTCCAGCCTTAGACCCTGCCCAGTGAATCAGCTTCGCCATGTGCCCCAACAGCTGCAAAAGCAGATGCTGCCACGTGGCCCTGGTGTCTCTCCCCACTTTCCTGTAGGGGTTAACCATGCCCCCGGTGGAGAATCCGGCAGGACAAGTCCGCCCTGAGGCAATTATGGCGGCGATACAGTCATGCTACAGGAACACCATTGACCCCACTGGCTACAGGCCCTGGAAGTACTGGCTGGCCAGGTCTGAAGGTACTGATGAGGCCCCAGCTGTCCCCTTGTGTCACACAGGGCACAGCCCGATGGGGTCGGGGGGCTGAGGGTGCTGGTAGCGGCTCTGGTCGTACCCCATTTTTTGCATCCTGTGTTTCCCCCACAGTGGCAAAGGGACTCTTCCTCAGCATCTACACTTGCAGCTTCACTGTGGCTGCCCATCCCTATACTGAGGCTCTCCCTGTCCAAGGGATGTCCACAGGTCCCCACAGCTCTCTCCCCTAAACAGCTGCTGGTGGTAGCTGCTGCATGAGGGACACTCTCCTGGCACCCCATAGCCCCCAGGGACCACGGCTGTGTGGGCAGGATGAGTGACCAACTAGCTGGACGTTGTTGTGGGTGTCACCTCCATCACAGGTCCTTAACAAGGATCCCACGAGAAGCAACTCTGACATGCCCCCTGGCCCCGTGGCATTGTGTTCCTGGGGAACAGCTGGGACTCTCCAGCAGACTCCCCAGATCCCCAGCACCACAGGACACTCCTGGCTGTCACTTTTGCATTGCAGAGAAGTACAACCCGGTTTTTGTCAATGAGGACAAATATGTCACCTGGAGAACAGGCCCCTACAACAGTGCAGCCTGGAATAAGCACTCCTCTTACCTCCCTCTCCTGCCCAAGGTAGAGCCCAGCCCCTCTGGCTCCCTCAAATTGGAGCTGCCTCAGGTGCCACCAGCACCTTGAGCTCTGCAGTAGAAGTGTGGCAATCCTGGAAGGACTTCCATTGCTTCTTGCAGGATACAAGGACGGAGAACCTCCCACACAGTGCACTCATGCTGGACCCCCCAAAACTCACCTGCCTCAATCGATTCGGTAATGTCACCTCGCCCTGTGCCTGCGCCGTGGCCATAGCTGTGTCTGCCATGCTGGTGTCCATCCAAGTGATGGGCTGACTGCTCCTTCTTGCCCTTAGCCTCACCATCCCTTCACTTGCAGAGAGGGAGGTGGCTGCTGAGATGCTGAACAGGCTGCCCGTGTACACCGTGAAGGAAAAGGGCCCTTTACAGGGCTACTACAGCCCCTGCTCTGGGCGCCACTACTGCCTGCGAGGGATGGACTACTATGTTGATGGGACCTCGGCCATCAGAAGGCACCCCCATGAACTAGGAGAGAGGACTGTAAGGTTGGGGTGCCTTTGGCTGGGATGGCATGGGATGGCATGCGTTACCTTGGGTTGGATGAGGATGGGTTGCCTTGGGTTGGGTTGGGATGGAGATGACCTCCCTCGTCCTCAGGGCTGCCACTCACCCTACTTCTTCTGTCTCTTGCAGGAGTATTCCATACTGCAGTCACAGCCACAGAGTGATGTTGTCTGCACCTACCCGTCACCTCCAACCATTGTCCCTGTACTCCTCCACCTCCCCTAGGTATGCGCAGTGCTCCAAACCATTTCCCCAGGGCACAAAGCCTATTATTTTTTCCCAATTCCAGCCAGCCAGTAGGTCTCTTTTCATTAGGGTTTCATGCAAGTTGGTCAGAGGGTTTTTCTGGGGACAGTGTTGCAGACTGCAGGTCCCACCACGGTGCCCACGCAGGCAGCGATGCAGCTGCTGCACCTCCCACCTCGAGGACTAGGTGGGTGTGCCCAGGAGGGCAGGACACCTCTGCAGTGCTGAGCTGCGGAGCATGTTGTTACCTGTGGAGAAGCAGTTGCCAAGTTTACTTCCAGACCAGGTGTTTCTATGCATGGGCTCATCCAGCAGTCCTTGGGACTGCACGGCACCTGAAATCTTGCTGGGGCCCCTGAGCCCTGCTGCACGTGGCTTAGCATCTCCCAGGTTTTGAGGCCACATCAGCGTTTCTTGCACTGCTCTTTTATTTTGTATTTGCATTGTTTGTTCTTCTTATCCAAGAGCATGTTCCTTGGTCACGCTGTTGGTTATGTGGTAATCAGCCCTGTCCTTCACCCACTGCTGGTCCAGCAGCACCTTTTAATCCCACCATGTTTACATTTAGAATGTCTCCACTGAGGCAGTTTTTTTCAGCCCTGGGGAAGCAGTGGAGGACGAGTGGAGGCTGTTCAACCAGCTTAGTCATCACTCCACTATTGCATCAACACCCCCTTCCCCCAGGGCCAAAATTAGGTAGCAGGCTTTGCAGAAAATGTGTAATTGGCTTTGAATTTCTGAGTCCAGAAACTAAAAGCAAATGAGAACAAACATGGAACAGTGGGTTCCCCATAGATGTCCCTACGCCTGGGCCTCAGCAAGATGTTTCTCAAGGTTTTCCTCACTGAGAAAACAGGCAGATTTTCCTGGACTGGCATGACTCTGGGAATGAAAATTTTAGGAAAATGACAGTGCAAGAGAGAGTGGGTGTTTGCAGGGCGGGAGACCTGCTGGAAGCAGCTTGCGAAGAGGCCAGTGCCAGGGAGCTTTAGATTTCCTGCCCAAGCTTCTCTCTGACCTCTTTTCCCTTAGACACACACCAAAATAGATGGGGCAGGTGCACATCCACCACTTGGCCCTAAGCAATGCTGGCAACCAGAAGCAGTTCTTCTCTTCTTCCTCACAGAAGAGAGTTTCATCCTCCCATGACTGATAACTTCATCTGCTCTCCTAGGTGGGACACAAGCCACTTCATGAAGACAGGAGGAGTCCAGAGGGGTAGCTACATCATCCACCCAGAGTTTGTCTCAGAGGCTTACTCTCCTCTGAGACACCACTGAAGAGCAAAGATGGGCTTTCATTAAAACTGGCTTGAGCAACTGTTCATCTCAGACCCTTTCCTATGGGCTGGGGAAATTCCTGGGGAGGGGGAAGAAACTTCAGTGACTGCTGGCGTGGTGGGCACTTTAACCAGGGGCTGGTACCACCACCCCCAAGCTGAAGACCAAGAAAGCACGCAAGGAAAAACTCCTGGAGCATAGTAACACAGCCAGAAATAGAAGCAGTCGTTGATACCCGTGTTTGTCAGCTTCACGCTGGGCTGCTTAGGACGTGCCTGCTCTTGCCAAGCTATCCAGGAAGAGCTGCCGTCCATCTGGGGTACCAGGCACCGAAACAAACTAAATAAGGAGGGGCATTTGAAAGCAGCACATAATTAATGAAGGCATGAAATGCCCTTCTCCAACTAAGAGCTGGGAGCCCAGTGCCAGGCAGGAGCACCACCCGGGCTCTCCCAGTGTGCTGCAGAAGATGAGCCCGGGAGGCTGCGGTGGCCACGGGGGGGATGCTCCA